GGAAAATCGGCCGCCATCTTGCCCCACGAACGAGTTTAAAGAGGAATGGCTCTAGCGGGTAATGTGTCGTCAAATTGAGAACATGAAAGTCTGCATTTCACACATTTTCACTTGTTTGGGAAGGTTGAAGTCGATATTGTCCAAAAATATGCCGACTAAGTGTGTTGTAGAAGGATGTAGCAACATGCGAAATTTGCAAGAGGGTATCACGCTTTGTACAGTCCTCATACAATACACCTAGTCGGCATATTTCGGACAACATCGACAACAACCTTCCCAAACAAGTGAAAATGTGTGAAATGCAGACTTTCGTGTTCTTGATTTCATGTCACATTACCCGCTAGAGCCATTCCTCTTTAAACTCAGTCATGGGGCAAGATGGTGGCCGATTTTCCGTATTTTGACTGGGCAAAGAAAATTGAAGATTTGAGCAAAATAAAAAAATTTTTGCACAGAAATACTCCAAGACATAAGCTTAGTTCATTAAGCAAAAAAAATCTTTTGGGTTCAGGTGCACTTTAAAAGATTAATTGTAACGAAACAACTGGAGGTAAATAAAGTATTGATAAAGTATTGCTTTTAGCACAGAGAGTTAGCATCCTTGTACATTCATTCCCAGGAGTGACCAAAATAGAATATCTCCTTACAACATCAATGCATATCAATACAAGAGGCTGCCACTCAATGGATATTGTCCTATTCAAAACCAAATTTAGAGAAAAAAAATAACAAAAAATAGTGTACAGCCTCTGGTAGGGAGAATTAATGATTATATCTTGTTTTTTTCCCTTTTGTTTTTGAGTAGAAAGTGTTAATGCAGATAACACAGGAGCTTTGCAAAAGGCCAGGACTTAACAAAGCAGGATTTGAGATGCCAACTATTTACATTCCCTCACTATTAGACAAGGTGAGGCAGAAACAAACATTCTTTGCCAAACTGTCAACTACACATGAGTGTAAACCTAATATTTTCTATGGCAAACTTGTTTTACATTCACACCTAAAAAATCAGTTTAATTTGTCTTTATTATAGAGAAAAAAAAGAAAACCAACATGGCATTAATCACAAGGTGCATCTTATGGTTAAACTCCTGACAATTCTCTGTGTAACAGTATTGTCAATCTAAATTTTACATAATTATGACCACATTTTAATATTTTCATAGTAGTCCATGTATAAAGAGTTTTTTAGATCTGAGTATAGCTAAAATTTTACTGTCATCTCTGAATTACTGGAAATTAATTTTCACTATAAACTTCCAGTCGATACATACACTAAAGCTAAACACTTTATTGCTCATATTATCATAGTATTATGTAATACTTGTTTACTTATCAATAATTCAATTATATAATTATACAATTTTGCAAGATAGTACTTCTGCTGTGCTGAATTTCTTTGTTTTTTTGTAATTATTTCTTTTAATTCATTTGTAGCCTGCAAGATGTGCCAATCAAATTGAAGAAGTCTGTAAGGAAATTGAAAAGACAATCAACCAAACAATACAAAACACCCTTAACACACTGGAAAAAGACTGCGAGAGAATTGCTGAATTGGTGGATGAAAAACTGAGAGTTGATGTGTGAGTAACAGTATTTATCTCTTGCCACCAACATGCTTTGAAATAATTTTGATCTTAATTTTTAACAAGGCCTGTTTCAACTTTTTGTGACTGTTTTGGATATTCACATCCCAACTAAGTATTCTGTTTAGAGAGAGGTTCAAAATTTTAGCATGATCTTCAATTGAGTGTCTAAAGGAATCTAAGATTGCACTGATTTTAATTTACTTTTCCTTGTAATTCGTCTCAAAAACTTGTGCCATCTTTTTAACCAGGATAAAAACTAACCAAGATTAAAACCATTACAATAAATGGTAAATCACATTTTTCTGTGCCTCATTCAGCTTGCTTGTGTTAGCTGAGAATTATTATGGGCGAAGCTAGTTTTTCTTTTATTCTGTCTAGTGGATGTGATTACTGCATCTTGGTTTTGTTCACAATCCACTCCAGAATGATTGCTCTCAGATATATTAGTGCCAGCCTTTTCCCTAAACATAAGATAAAAGGTTCCAAACTTTACTTTATTTATTTATTTTTTTTTTTCAGGGAGGCTTGTTCACATAATATCAGGGCAAGATTGAAGGGTATATTTTTTGGTTTGTTGGGCGTTCTTCTTCCTTTTGTTTTGTTGGTGAACTTCCTGGCAAGTAGCAGTGCAAGAGAAACTCTGTATGGACTGGTTGCAAAAGAAAGGGCAGAAAAACTCTTTCTTTACACTGTAAGTAATGTTTCTTCTTTGTAGAAGTAACTTACAGTTAGTGAGGGGGGGAAAGAAGGGAAGTCTGGATACAAGCTTTTCCTCAATTACTAGATGTGCTGTGCTGTGGCCTTCAGTAGTTTACATATGTAATTTTCAAGTGAGACCTGAGTTACTTTGTTTGAGGTTTTCTCTGTTATCCACTTAGTTCCTCCTTGGAGCAAAGAGTATCTCTTTCTAA